GTGGTAGCTTCACCAATGACTCATGATTTCTTTTAGCTTCATCACAGATGTTGATTAATTCATTCAAGTTAGATTGCACTTCACTTGCATTTTCCTTAGATTTCATGAGCTCTTTCATCTGGGTCATTAACTTCATGGCTTGCTTACATTTCAAGTTTCTTGTTTTCTGACAGTTTTCAATGAACATTTCCAAACCTTTAGCAGTGTGTTTAATAACCCTTTTTTCTTTTTCAGAGGCCAGTGCAACAGCGCCATCTTGTGACCGCACGTCAGACTGGACAATAGACATATTTGCTTCACTTTTACCGTGACCCAGTAAACCACACGCCAATGGCAGAATGTTTTAAACAGCTGATATAGTTGTGACAGTATAGGTTTCAGTCAATGAAATGCAATAGTATAACAGCTTCTGGGCGCTGTTTTATAGCTTTTCCAATAAAGCTTAATGTTGCACATACCCTTCCGCCTTTTGCCTGCACGTTGCTCGTTCAGAGTGTCCAATCTCCCTCAATTAGCTCTGCACAGGTGGCGTCAATATTTCCTTCATTGGGAATGGCGGCGTCCAGTTTTATGAATGAAAACTTTCGGTTCTTCTGTGAAAACAATCTGTATCCACTTCCAATACTGTTACATGCTCAATTTTCACACATAGAGCAGAGTTCTCACTTTTTATAATGGCAATCTTTGCTTGGCTGTACCTTTAGCCCTATATTCAATTTCATTTCTTTGCCATCATGCACAGGTAGGAGTGAAGTTTCAGTTGTTTTCTTGTCTTGTTTCCAGTTGTGAGTTGTGTGTTCTAGGTTCTAATCCGTGGTCTGGTGAGAACTGTTTGTGCTCCCTCTACCTGTGCCTTCCGTTTCCTGTCACCTTAGCCCATTTAAATACAACCATGTGCCTCTAATTACTGCCACCTAGTGTCTAAATACTAATATAAATATATCCAAACAAAAACTATCATGCAAACAATAAACATAAATGGCTCCTACAAAGGGAAAAGTAACTATATTACAGTAACTAATTACTTAGTAATAAGTTACACCCAACACTGTTTGTCCTGTTCTTAAACGGTCAGCCTGACACAAAGCCGTGTACAATTGGCGCAATGAGCAATTATCATCCAAACGCTGGATTTGTAAATGCAATCTTTATGTCAGGGTTGCTGTCGTGTGTATAATCCAAAGGATTGGTGCGTGACGCAGAATGAATAATAAAGATAGTTTTTGATAGCAAAGCAACTTTATCATGTCAGCGTTGGTTGCAGCAGAGAGGAAACAGCATAAGTGCAGTCTTTATCTAGAAACAAACTCGAAACTTCACAAAACAGAAATCCCCAGGACAGTTTCAAGTTTCAAGTTCATGGTATTTATAAAGCACATTTAAAACAAGCATGGTTGACCAAAGCACTGTACAAAATATATATTCAAATTCACACAAAGATTAACAGCAACTTTCACATGACATTGAACGCACACGAGTACAAGTAGGTTTTTAATAGATTTCTGAAATCAGACACTGTGGGCGCTGTTTTAAAGGTCCCCTATTATGACCCTTTTCACAAGATGTGAAATAAGTCTCCGATGTCCCCAGAAGTTTCAGCTCAAAATACCCAACAGATCATTTTTTACAGCATGTTTAAATTGTCATTTTTTGGGGGCTCAGAAAAATGCGCTGTTTCAGTGTGGGCCCTTTAAATGCAAACGAGCTGCTGCTGCCGACACAGGGGGCGGAGCTTCATGAGCTCGCGCCAAGGGGGTAATCCATCCACCGGAAGTTAAAGCCTGAGGGAGCTACCATCTTGTAGCAGAACTTCACAAGGTAAGTGTGAAAGGGCCCTTTGACTATGGCTTAAATATAGTAGATAGTCAGACTTCAGATCTAAATCAGACTAGGGCTGGGTATTGTTAGGTATTTCACAATTCGATTCGATTTCAATTCTTGAGGCTTCGATTCGATTCAATATTGACTTATTAGCTTCGATATCAATTCAATAATAAGTAAATACACAAGTAATTAAGTGCCTGAGTATATTTTTAAGTAATGTGCGCAGTTTTACCAATGTTAAAGAACAAATTGACCCCAGCATGTGTGTTTCCTGTCATGGTTTATTCAGCAGAATAAAAATGTACAATATTGTATGTGTTGAATTCAAACACAACTGTGACAAGCACTGTACAGTGCTTTAACAACACATCTAAAGTGCAAGTAACTAAGTAGTAGAAAGTATATTTCTTTCTTCTTATACATTCAAGTTATAAAAGAAATGTAAACAGAAGCACAAAATGTGCATACTCAAAAAAGTGCAATATTATATTCTAATTATAATTTTGTAAACAATAACACTTAATAGCTGATCACACTTAACAGCAATTGCAAGTTATCAGGCCAATTCTAAGGGGGAAAAAATACTAACCTTTTTCCCTCTCAGAAGTTTATATCTCATAGACTTTATATCACGCAATTCTGACTTTATATCATGCATTTCTGACTTTATATCACCCAATTGCGACTTTATATCACGCAATTGTGACTTTATATCTCGCAATTCTGACTTTATATCTTGCAATTCTGAGAAATTAAGTCAGAATTGCGAGAGATAAACTCCCAATTGTGAGAAAAAAAAAGTCAGAATTGTGAGATAAAAAGTCGCAATTACCTTTTTTATTTTCCATTCTGTGGCGGAAACAAGCTTCCATAGTTCCCGGCTTACAGTGGAATCCAAAATGAGCCCAAACGTCGGCTTTTAATGTTGGCGGTGCAGTCTTGAATCAGGCTTGAACGGAGTGCAGCTGCTGTCCGTCATCGCGCTGTTTTGCTAAGGGCTAAAGCGCGACTTGTACAACGCTGAACGCTCTCACTAGAGTGTAGCCCACAGCGCCGCCACTGGCCTGGATGGCTGAATCGATTCATAGGATTTGATGAATCGATATTGAATTGAGAAGGAAAAAATTGCAATGCATTGATCGATATTTTTACCCAGCCCTAAATCAGACCGCTGCACAAAGCACTTAAGACTCTGACTATCTTAAGCAGGACTACACTGCAATGATTTCTGTGTAAAATAAGACACTTTTCAAAACAAAACAAAAAACATGGCGGACAAAGTAAGCGCATTCAATCGCTCAGTGCAGTTTAGGCCAGCCGGTAAATGTGTGTTTTTTGGAGAAGTACACTCACTTAAAGGATTATTAGGAACACCTGTTCAATTTCTCATTAATGCAATTATCTAATAAACCAATCACATGGCAGTTGCTTCAATGCATTAAGGGGTGTGGTCCTGGTCAAGACAATCTCCTGAACTCCAAACTGAATGTCAGAATGGGAAAGAAAGGTGATTTAAGCAATTTTGAGCGTGGCATGGTTGTTGGTGTCTGAGTATTTTACAATCTGCTCAGTTACTGGGATTTTCACACACAACCATTTCTAGGGTTTACAAAGAATGCTGTGAAAAGGGAAAAACATCCAACATCCTGTGGGCGAAAATGCCTTGTTGATGCTTGAGGTCAGAGGAGAATGGGCCGACTGATTCAAGCTGATAGAAGAGCAACTTTGACTGAAATAACCACTCGTTACAACCGAGGTATGCAGCAAAGCATTTGTGAAGAAGACACAACACACACAACCTTGAGGCGGATGGGCTACAACAGCAGAAGACCCCACCGGGTACCACTCATCTCCACGACAAATAGGACAAAGAGGCGACAATTTGCAAGAGCTCACCAAAATTGGACAGTTGAAGACTGGAAAAATGTTGCCTGGTCTGATGAGTCTCGATTTCAGATGGTAGAGTCAGAATTTGGCGTAAACAGAATGAGAACATGGATCCATCATGCCTTGTTACCACTGTGCAGGCTGGTGGTGGTGGTGTAATGGTGTGGGGGATGTTTTCTTGGCACACTTTAGTGCCAATTAGGCATTGTTTAAATGCCACGGCCTACCTGAGCATTGTTTCTGACCATGTCCATCCCTTTATGGCCACCATGTCCCCAAAAGGGGGTCAAACACAGTATTAGTAAATGGACTTAAACATACAAAAAAACTGTAGAGTAGTGATCTGGGTTTATGACACACAAAGTAAAGCATTCACAAGACTGGACAGAAAGCGAGGCTTCGTTTCTCGTTGATCACGTGTTTCTCTGAAAACAACACGAGCTTCATGAGAAATTGCGTTGAGTACTCGATACATGCTTTGAAGCTTCAGTGTCAAATGTAACATCTCTACAAAGTGCTCCATTACTTTTTGTAAACAATGGGTCAACATTGAGGAACTTATCTACAGTGCAACTGTAGACGACATCCAGCACGCACAAAAACTAGATTTAAAGACAAAAGTCAAGTTGAGTCAGAGCTTGCAATGCCTTCGCCAATGCACATTATCATCACATTTTCAGGGTTAAACCCCCACAGGAATCCATGTGTTGTGAATTTGAATTGAATTGACTGCTGTGATAATGAAGACAGAGAAGCATTCTGAAGAGATAAGAAGCAAAACCAATGTGTAAATTAGAAAAGCCTTGAGCGTCCCAGTGGACGTTGCTGACTCAATCAACACCAAGAGTAACTTCAGAAGAGGGCATGCCTCAAATCTCTGTTAATGTTTGCAGACGAGACCAAAACCTTCACCATAATTCAATGTGACATGAAGTGTAGCACTGTCCAAACCTTATTACACACCATCCCTGGGTGTTTCCAAAGCAATATTATGGCTTTAAAACTACGATTCCCAATAATACGGCTCTGGGCATTCGTAACCCATGCCTCAAAAACGAGAAAATGAACATGTGGTTTCCAGATGCCATTCTCAATGATACGTGGTCTGGCGTTATCCAGGCTAGCATTAACTAATGTTAACTAATTAACATTAATGTAAAGTGTTGCCAATTTGTGTCATAAAGGGAACAAATTTGCATAAAAAGAAAGTCTACATTCAGTATGAAATTGATCATCTATATTCTTGAACTTTTCATTGACACACACACACACACACACACAGATTTTACCTGCAAATTCGGGTCTCATAGTGAAGTCATGATCATCAACACGCAGCAGATGGTCTGATCTCAGCGGATGCGTCTTGGTTTCATCCAACGTCTTCTTGAAAAGCGGACTGCAAAAGAACATGTCGGGACTTCAGTGCGAGCTCACAGAGACACGCGTACTCCATGATGAAGACGTCCATGACATGAACTGAGACACTACACAGGCAAAAACGGTGGCTAAATTATGACCTATTTACAGTAATAAAATAAAGATCTAGAATTAAGTACAGTCAAAGTTTATTATTTGTATATGCACACTAGTATACAGTATATTAGCAATATTGAGTATTTTAATTTTTAATGGGATGTTATTAATAGAAATATTATCATTATTAAGAGATTCTCAAACAACATAGTACTTTGACATTAAGTCAATTGTTGTCTGTGCAATGTTTGTTCCTGACTTATGGTGTCCAGATGCTATAATACTAGTAAAAATATAGGACTAGACAGGTGGTGTCAGTTAGGAATATTTCTCAAGGTATATATAAACATACAGTATCTTAAAACATTGACTAAAAATCCAGAAGAAAACAGTTTAACTTACTCATTTCACAAAAAAAGTTTTTTACAGCAAGCAAATTGCCTACTAAAACAGTTTGATGCACAAAATGAAGTATTTATGATTAAAGAGCAAAAAATCAAAAGAAGGACATCAAAAATAGAAAATATTTAATTAAAGACCAACCATACCAGCATGAAAAAACACAAGCATTTTGTACACAAACTCGTGTTCTTAAGTTACAGCTCCCAACTTATTTCAAGCAACCTGTAAATAATAGTTTGCCCTGATGTTGTCCTCTATGCTCACTACTAGACCCCGAGCTTATGTGAAAACTGAAATAATAAGTTGAAACGACACTTACGTTCCGTGATTGTGATGTTGTCCAGATGTTCTCCTGACGCCGAGCTTCATCTTCCCGCACTGCCCGCACACACTCACGCACAGCAGAAGAAAAGCAGCGTTCATACTGAAGGAGAGGATAGACAGCATCTTCAGGCACAGCCGTTCCCGCACAATGATGCTCTGAGCCAGCCACGCGTCGCGTTGCTCAACCAGCGCGGCGCGCGCACATGGCGATTATTACATCGATTCGTCGAGTCGCTTCAGTTACACACGAACACACAGCAGAACTTTCGACTGGCGTTGGGAAAGAGCGCACTGCTGTCGAGCTAATTTGTTTTAAAAGATGATATATTTAACTAGACACCTCGTCTAAAAGGGATACTCCGCCGTTTTTTCATATTAAACTACGTTACGAGTTGATAGGCTACACACCTCTCTCGTCTCAGTGCGTGCCGTGCACTCAATCGATCTGGTGGGCGAGACACCCCAGTTCATTTAATATGGGCCAAGCAGAGAAGCGACCAAACACCTCCACGTTTTCCCTATTTAAATACAGTTACACGAGTAGAGTAACTCAACCAAGAATGTTGTCACAAAATAAAACGTTGCGCTTTTCCCGTGTAAAGTAGATATAACTATAATGTATGGCGGAATACCACAGCAGCTGCACACTTTTTAAAGTCAAATTTTAAGGATTAGTTCACTTTAAAACAAAACTTTTGCTGAAAATGTACTCACCCCCATGTCATCCAAGATGTCCATGCCTTTCTTTCTTCAGTCGAAAAGAAATTAAGGTTTTTGATGAAAACATTCCAGAATTTTCTCCATATAATGGACTTCACTGGGAACCAAACGGTCCAAGGTCCAAATGAGAGTTTCAGTGCAGCTTCAAAGGGCTTTAAACGACACCGGTGAAGGTGCAAGGATGCTCGACAACTTCCGCCTATCATAGAGTCCAATGCATTACCGAGAATTTATTGAATTTTATAATCCATGGTTATACTAAAGAAACGTTAGTCACAAAAACAGATAAAACAGACAACCCTCGTTGTGTTTATGCTTCTTTTTAAAATGATATTAAATAAACATAACTATATATAAAATTTCATCTAAACGTATGAAAGTTTAGTTTAAAAGACGAGAGGACAGTAATTTTTGAAGACTCTGCCATAATCCCTCGGTTTTCCTCTGCTTTAATCTCCACAACCGGAAACTGACGAGCATCCTTATTGCGTCAAATGTGGAACTTGAAAAATCCTAGCGGAGTGATGATATTACTGCGTCGATTCAAAGTGCTCCCAAGCAGTTCCTGTGATATTCCGCGGGAAAAGCACAACGTTTTGTGTCACCATTCTTGGTTGAGTCACTCTACTCGTGTAACTGTATTTAAATAGGGAAAACGTGGAGGTGTTTGGTCACTTCTCTGCTTGAATCCAAATGAATGAACAAGGCTAATCTAGCTAAGTGCTATCAAAGTGTTTCACGCACCAGAGCGATCGAGTGCACGCACTGAGACAAGAGAGTTGTGCATCAACTCCTCTTAGTTAAAGTTGTTGTTCTAATGTCGGTCGCCATGTTGCCCCTCCATCTTGAAAGAACATTAGCCAAAAAGGGACATACCTTTCGCGTTTACGTTTGAGTTAACACTCATGGACGAGGTCGAACTGGAAGCCATGTTAATCTTGGCCACCGTAGCAGCAACATGACATCATGACTTTTGCGTAAACGTACACCAATTTTACGCCAATTTCAAGTCAAGTGGCGTGTTATCTCAACGTATTTCGAGCTATTCACGTGCATCCGCGTGTATGTGTGTAAGTCTACGCCATTAACGTCATTCCGCGTGTTTGTACACGCCGTCAAATGTCCGAGCAAAACAAAGCAAAATATAGATCTACATCTGGGGAGCGATCATTTTTTTCCTAGGATGGTAGAGGAAGACTCATAAATCGTATTAACCCCAGTGACGGGTAAGTTTAGGGACGGGGTTGAGGCAAGTCATATATTTATATATACAGTAATAACGTTAAGTCAACGGCGTTCATGAACACGCCGAAAAGCGATTATGCATGTTGATGGCACGCCAAAAATGGAAATACGAACTGGCGTGTCATACATACGCCACTTCATGAGATCAGTCTGGTAGGAGTTAAAACGAAATCGGAATTGAGAGGAACAGAAACTAATATTCACTGGATGGTCATATACCTTTTCACCACTAGATGGGGGTAAAAATCACACAGTGTAGCTTTAAGGGAATAACAGTTTAATATGAAAAAAAACGGTGGAGTATCCCTTTAAAAAGCCCAAACCACACTCACACAGTGATCAACTATCCCATATCAGCTGTTCTCCAACGGAGGGCCGCCAGATGGCGCACGATTTTTGAATTATATGTAAATTAAATGTTCGATATTATTCTGCATTTGCAGTGAATACTAAATTAAATGTTCAACATTAATCGCTTTTGTTAACTTCTACCAAGTAGAGAAAAATATTCTCGCTTTTTACAAGAAATTACAACAAATACATACTTCCAATATTGCCAAAAATGAACACTGTGCACATTTCATGAAATTTCAGTACAAATTCAGTGAAGTGCCTCAGGGAAATGACTAAATGTTTAGTGTACGCTCGAAATATCATTGTTTCATGATAAAAATGATTTAAAACGCAATTATTATTGTATTCATTATAATAGACATACCAAAGTATTGTGAAAAACTTTTAACATTTCATTTTGGTGAACCACCACTTTAACAAAAACTGAAACCATACTACATTTTGTTTCATTACAGGAAATCCATTCGCCTGCTGAAGATTATTCATGAATAGAGGACAAACGGATCTGAATGTCTGATTATTTAAATGTTTTAATGATCTGTGTTTAACAGCAGAAGACATCAATCACAATGCCCCACATTAAATCGAAGCCTTAATACAGTGTTGATATAACATACGAATGCTGTAATACAATCTTACACTTAAAATCAATCTATTCAGCACATATTGATATATGGAGTAAATAGAAACATGAAAATAATCATTAAAATGCTAGATTCGCTTCTCTAGTGTGTTCTTGGTCGCCAACCAGCTGAAAGTCCGAGAAGCAACAACTAAGACACACGTTCATGTTAATAACGTCACTTTAAAACCTTCGAGACGGAGTGAAGAGAGCAAACAGTTCTGTTAAAGTCAGGTTTATTGGTTAAAGAAAACTATTGGTTGTTGCTAAAGGAAGAGAGAAACAGATGATGTTTAAGGGTTTCTATGTGTACGTTCTATGTGTAAACTCATATACCGAGTTACAGATATATTAGTAAAAATAAAAACATCATTTTGACCGCTTGAATGTTTTCAGAAAATTAGCAGACCAACCAGAGAGGCTCTTCTATCCAAGTGCAAACGTAGTTTTTTTTTTTTTTTACAGTTTAAAAGCAAAATATACAATATTACAACCATGCCTACGTTTTTATCGTGCGTAAATGTCCGCTTCCGAGACAGACGGACCACATTTCAGAAGCGGACTGCAAATTCTCCATTCGTTGGTTTCTTCCAGCCTAAGAGCAAATTTTGAACATTGGTAACTTTTGAAATGCATTTAGGAAACAGCAGTCTCAGGATTTGTACGAAACAACGTCATATTTCACCCCCAAAATGTTATTTTATTAATTATATTGAGGAAAACAGGAATAGTACCCAGTTCTTATTACATCATGTGATATTTTTCAAGTTACAGTGACGTGTCCAGCTACACCATTGTAGATTTTTGAACATTAAAACATTAAAAGGCGGCACAATAATCACCACCATGATGCATAAATACTTTACAAGTAAAATAGCTAGCCTAGGGGACAACTGTAACATCAGAAACTGTCTTCTCTTTATGTCAAATATAAATGTGCATTTTTAGGGGTGAAATCTATGCAATACAAGCTCGTTTCTGCCAATGGATGAAATTCATAAAATCGTGACTTTTTATCTCACAGAATTGTAAGTTATAAAGTGACAGCTCACAATTCTGAGTTATATCTCACAATTTTACATCTCGCAATTCTGACCTTATTGCGAGATATAAACTAGCAATTCCTAGACAAAATATTCGAATTTTGAGATTTGCAATCATCTTTTATATTCTGTGGCGAAAAGCAGCTTCCATTGACATGTTCTTGTTCCTGAAACACACACCTCGTCTGCTGGATCAGGACAGAAAGAGTTCACAGCTCGTAATCAAACTTGTACTCGTGGGCCAAGTAGATCCTGCGGAAGATGAGCGCGGCGAGCGCGAGTGTGAGGAGCACTATGAGGACGGCACAGCCCGTGTGACTGGGGTCCTGCTGCGGGTGCGGGGGGGCGGGGGAGGCCGTGAACGTGGGGTATCTGGGGCTCTGGGTCTGCGAGCGCCGCTGACGGGGACTCGGAGCCGCCGGGGCGGATGGACCCTCGCTTGATGTCGGAGCAGCCACGAATGAGGACTCAGTCTGGACCAGAAGAAAGAGAGGAGCAGAGATCATTACAGACACACTGGGAGCCGATGCTACTGAACAGGGGACACACTGCATTTGGTCCGGACCAACAACCTTTCGTCCTGGTTCGCATGGAGTTCACATGTAAGTGTCTTTGTTTACGCAGTATTTTCAATTTTGATATTTTTAGGTCAAACCGTTCGTGTCTATCAGTCATATAATGGAGGTCTATGGTCACCACCTCAAAGAGCATGCACAGAGAAGTCCAAATTAAACACGATTTAATGACTCGTAAATATAAGTACACATTGATGGCCTAAGACACGAAACGAGTGGTTTGTGTGAGAAAACGAACAGTATTTATATTGTTTTTACCTCTTGTAATCACAGCCACAAAGCGCCCGTGCCTTCAGATCACTTGGACGTGGCTGTGATTACAAGAGGTAAAAACGATATAAATACTGTTCGTTTTCTCACACCAACCGCTTGTTTCGTGTCTTAGGCCATCAATGTGTACTTACGACTACGGTGAGAAATTCTGTCTACGGTCAGCATTCTGTCCTTTTTCCACACACCTGGCGTATGTCTTCAATTGTTTTTAATGGGAGCGCTGCGTTTTTAGAACGCCATGAGCGTCTTTTGAAGCGCTGAGCGGTCGGCGTTTTTTACTGGTCACAGAGAGTTTTGAAAAATGCTCAACTTTGGGTAAAGCCAGAGACTATTTATATAGAGACATGCCACTTGCTCAATCCTTAATACAAATGTATAGGGAAAACCCGTAACACCAAAG